TTTTTTTTTTAATTTTATGCGAGTGCAATTTCATGGATTCATATGCATTCCTTGAAATGTTTTAGATTTTTCTGGCCGCAAATGGTTTGCTGTTTGGAATGTTGTGTTTTTTTTATATGTATAAAGAATAAATAGCAATTGCTTTCAAAGAAGCGGAAAAATTTAGAAAATATTTTTTCTGCTATTTAATAAGTTAAAGTAGGGGGCGGTCCAATAACAAGCTACTTTAAAGAAATTATGAATTTTAAGAATATTGAAGACACTGATTTTTGATTTTATATCAATTGCTTGGTTTTATTTTGATTCCATTTTTTTTTTTTAGATTTTTTAGTTGCAGCTCCTTTAAATAAATATTACAATAAGTTGCATAAATAAAACGTTGAAGAGAGAGAGGAATTACTTGAGTAAACATTTAGCAGGTTAAGAGAAATGTTAGCGAAGAGGGAAGTGTACAAAGTTTAAGTAGAAAAATATGCTGAAAAATCGGTAGCTTAAATTCTTGTTTTTTTTTTTTTAGGTAAAACTTTGAAGTATTTTGTACACTTGATGCTCCGCCAAAAATCTCTTCTACATAACTTGCATTTTTTTGCGATTTTTTTGTTAATTTCTTTTTTTTCGATTTGATTCTCGTTGCACATGTTATTTTTCTCGTTGTTGTTAGACTTTTTCTTTAGTTCGTCTGGTTGTTAATTTGTTCATTTCATTCGTTATCCATGCCAGGCCCAAGCGTATCTAAACTAAACTATACGCATGGGTCCTAATGGGTCTAACAAAGTCGTCGTAGTTGCATCGTCCTGATCATTGTGTCCAGTTGCAGCGTTTCGAAATAACTAATCATTATTGTACTTTCGGTTCCACACTCGTTTCGCACACGCCTAAGCTGCCGATTCGCTGATCTCGGCTGTCGCTTGTGTGCGCACTTCGGAGGCCACATCGTCTTTGCCACAGGCAAGGCAGGGAATCTTCTCGCGTAACACTTCTCGGTACTTGGGATGACTGAAGCGTGTGAAGCAAAATAAAAGCAAATTGTAATTTGTACGCGCTCCAATATTTCTTCTTCATTTAACTCACCTGAGTCCATAGACAATTGGATTGCAAACGGAATTCGCCTTTGCAAACACCGAACCGCAAATGGTGCTTAGCGGTGAGAGATTCATCGAACCGAAAACACCCGCATAATTGATGATGGTATATGGAGTCCAGGCGAGGAACCACAACGATATTGTCACAAGCGCCACCTTCGCCAATTTGATTTCGATCGATTTACCTTTGTCCGCCTCGCTGTTGCGCAATGAAGCTACATTCATTTTCTTCGCTTGATCGCGCATGGCTTTCTCGTGAGCATAAACAGCCTGGTTGGGTGGGAAGATAGAAAGAGATGACATATTTATATATAAGATAAAAGTGTATATGGAAACCATTAAGAGTTAAAGGCAAATAAGAGCGGATTGTGAAGGCTAAGACCCTGTTCACATGACTGGCGTTCATTGCGCGTTAATGCGGTGTATAGACAACAGCCATCAGACCGAGTGTCATCCATGACGCTCTGATCTGTGGAAGTTCTAGACAAAGGTAGCAAAAGGAAAATAATTGTGGAAACGATATAGCTGAATGACAAGGTATGGCTATTAGAAAAAAAGGTAGACCAATCTACTAAGCCACCGTTAAGATCTCAAGGTCAATATGACCGCAGTTAAATAGGGAAAAAGAAAGAAGAGCCTCTGAAACTCAACAACAGATCTAAATAACCGCAGCGGCGTCATCACACCACAAAATGTTATTGCACCGACGCTACAACGATGGCGAATACCAACGAATTCGTTCTGTGTCAAAGGCCAAGCCTGCAGTCGAGGCGACTTCAACACCTTAAGGTCAACTTCTTCACCAGTCTTCCAGAGATATCGAAACTGGAACTCTTGGACTTCCTAATTTCTTTTGGAAAAGTAAGTAGTTTAGTGGATTAACTTATAAGGAAACCCCGGTTAGGGGAATGTGCCTGAAAAATATGTCTCCTACTTTCCACACACGCCCTCATAATTAAACTAGCAGCATCTTTGTTAGGCCTCTAGTTTCATACTTGGAGCTGGTTTTGAAGATGAGCTTTTAAGTGTCGGAATGAAGGAAATTTGTCTTCTGGATTATTCAAATGCGGGCTTTGAAAGAGGAAGTCTTTGAGCAAGTGAATTTCTGTGATGAAATTTTCTTCGCTATGGTTTTTGTATGAAGTTATCTTTATAAGATTAAAAATGTCTCAAAATAGTTAAAGTGGAGGCCACGCAATGAGTGGCAAAGTGGCAAGCGGCTGAGTGGAAGAGCGGTGCCATACAAAAATGCCGCTCAACCGCTCAGAAATGCCGCTCAGAGCATGGCCACTTCAATAGTATTTCATATGTTTTAATTAAGCCGCTCAGCCGCTTCGCCGCTCATTGCGTGGCCTCCGCCTAACACTTTTCTGCCATTCAACTGTATATGGATGTGTTTCATGGTTTTCCCATTGTATAAATGTTGTACCAGGCATAGTTCTCTCACGAATACCTCATCCAAGTGAAGATGCTTCTAAGTTCTATCCCAAAGACTACTGCTACGTCGCTTCGAAACCATTTCGTTTGATGCCCTTTTTGTGAAAACGCATTTAAATTAATTGAAATAATTTTTAAATAGGTGGCATCTCTTGTCAAAAACACCTCAATAATTATATACATAACTATTCAAACTGACACGCATATTTAAATTTCTCTTATACATAGCTTGCGAATAGTTTATTTAATTTTGACATTTCAAACAGGTGGCAACTCTTTTAAACTTTTTTTTTAAGCTATAAAATTTTTAAGCCTCTTTAATCTAACACCGAAAGTTCAATACAAATTTCAATCTGATTTTCTGTGAGTAAGGAATTGAAGTTACATACATATGTATATATCTCCATTCCAAGTTCCAGTACTCTAACTCAAATACTTCCTGAGATATGCACTATGAAAAATTTCGTTTGTATGGGAGGTGGGACAACCCTAATCTAAACGAGATAAAAGCTATCTTTAAATGAAGGTAAATGATGCGAGTGTGGAGAAGCTCATGAGTAGTTAAAGCGAGAGAGCGTAAACCAACGAACTCGTTTTCGCATTTATATGTAAAATATTAGTAAGGATTATATGACAATGCAACCTGACTGAAGACTGAGGCTCTTTTTGCTTGGGAGGGTGAGCGGATATACAAAACTAGAAAATTTGCGGAGAACTTTGTCTGTACGAGAGAGTCTAACTTTTCCATGAAGTAGGATAGGTAGAAAAGTGGTGATGGAGCCGAGAACCTACTGTAGTCACCCATGTAGCATTTCGAAAATCATCTTAAGTCTTTTTTCACACTCACCTTCATAATGTGATAATAGGAGAAGATAATGGTCGTCAATGGCGTAGCGTACACCCACAACGAGTACACAATAATATACGAACGATTATACCAGTCCTTAGCAAAGTAGTCTGTGCCGCAAGCGGTCATATTTCCCTCAGGTACATAACGATTCCAGCCGACCATCGGCAGTATGGCCCATGTGCCGCAAATACACCACACAAATACCAAACGTATCACAGCCACCGTTGTGGTGAGCGGCTTGCGCGACAAACCCTTAACAATCACACAATACCGATCGTAGGCGATCAACGTCATTGACCAAATCGACACGCAGCCGAAAAGCGAACCCGCCAAACCGTACAACTCACACAGCAGCGGTCCCATTATCCAAGTGCCATAGAAACCGTTCAAAACGACGGGCGGGAACATGGTGAACATCATCATGAAATCGGAAAAGGCCAAATTCACCACGAATATATTCGATGGTGTGCGCAGCGAACGCGTCGAGGTGAATATGTACATGACAATGAAATTGCCCGACAGTGACATCACACCCAAAATGGTTATAATGAAGCCAATTATGTGGAACCAAATCTGCTCCATGGGTTGCCATTTGTACCAGTAGGGATCGACCATGTGGAAAATATCAGCGGGTACACTCTCGGCCAGACTGATGTTGCGGCCATCGCGTAAATACTGGAAGCCCGCTGGCTGTGGCAGCGTTAGCGTCGATAAAGCATTTGTCAAATCCATGGCTTAGGCGGTTTTGCGGAGTCGTTGATTTTTAGGCTTTGGCTGCACACGAATGCGGCTAAGCAACGGTGTCGCGTTGGGGGAGTTGGTTGCACAGTTTTTGAAGAAATTGATTTTGAAATTTTTTTTTGTAAAACAACTAGAATTTATTTTGACGCTTCCATAGCTAAAAGCAACGATTTGTTGTCGTTGGCGCGAACGCTTGTTGTACCGATACTTGTCGCACTATCTTTGTACGCACCATCGATGGGCTATGGCTTTTATAATGGAGCTCCTCCGTGGTACGCAAGGAAGCCGCCGCCGCCGCCGCCGCTGCGATGATCCAATTAGTGCGCGAACAATTTTTTGGCTTGGCTTTAGATTTGCAATGCGCAATTGAAATTGTGGGATTAAGGCGTTTTGGATACGCGGTGCTTGCAGGTTGTAGCCAAGTCGCAGGTGGGAAGGTCAAGTTTATGACCGGCAAAGTGTAAGAATTGTATGCATGGATGTATGTACGTATGTGCGTGCACGTGTGCAAGTAGCAGAAAAGAAATAAGCGCCAATTGTAAGAAATTGTATGAAATCGGATTAAGACAATTGAATTCCGCTTGAATTGAGCGCAGTAAGAAAGCAGCAAATTGTTGTCTAAATTAGTTAAAACAGAAAGTTGGATTAATTGTTTACATATGTGTGCTGTAGCTCACGTACATAAATACATACATACATACATGGGCATGTTAGTGAAATGAGTTTTTTTTTTTGTTTAACTGTTTGCTTCCCTTCTGATATTTTCAAATTCAAGGACACGCTTAGAAAAGTCCAGCAGCGCTATCTCATTCGCTTCTGTTTGATAAAAACGAAGGCAGAGACTTTCAAATTACTTTAGACGTAATTACTAGGGATGCCAAAATATGAAGAAAATTGTGATCCCGGGATTTTGGGATAATTTTCAAGTAATCCCGGGATCACATTGAGTCATAACTTTTATGAATATGAGTAAAAATTCAATTCAAACATACCATTAAATAAAACTTTTTAAAATTTACTATAAACTGCTTGTAAAACTCACATATCGCTAGCTAAGAGTGAAATGTTGCTAACTTCACTTTTTATGAACTTCACTTATTTTGATACAGGAAGCTAGATAAATTGAAAATGCATCATTTCGAAAAGCGTAAAGCTTCTTGTTTTATGTTTTCTCGTTTATATTCAGTGAATGGAAAATTTGCTAAGTCCAAAAAAAAGCTCCGAAAATTCGTTAAGGCCAAAATAGTTCGATATCTTTTAATAAGGATCGAATCCCTCTGATTCGTATGGAGTTTGGCTTCGCTTTAAACAGGCAAATTGTTGTATTCAAAGTTTTGCGAAATACTTGAAGAAAATGGCTATAAGAAGTTTTTTCCTCTCCTGCGAAATTTGTAAATTAAGACTTAGCAACTTTGCACTCTAAGCTAGCGATATTATGCGAATGGCAAATTTTTTGTAATTTTTTTACGCAATTTACTCGAAATTTTGAGGGTGTACGAGTCAAACGGATCTCAGAATCGGGTCTGGTCCATTTAAATCTTCTTCAAAAAAGGCTCGGATTGCAATTTAAAAGTACAGTTTAAAGCTGTTTGCTAATTGCAGTCAAAACGGCATTTTACAACAAATCCTACTTTAAAAACAAGTTCTTACTATCAATTCGATATTTCCGCATTTTTCGGGATCCCGGGATTTGCTTGCATTAATTTTCGGAACCTTAAAAAACCAGAATCCCGGGATTGACATCCCTAGTACTTACCTAGTTATATTCTATATATGATTATTTCTGCACATATGTACATATAAATATAGGTGCGTTTGTGGGTGTGTATTTAGTACATTCACCTCAATAATTGATTTTTCATACATACTACAAACAAGAATTTTACAAAAAAATGTTTTCTAAATTCCTAGCATAGCAACCCCTTCAAAAGTATCATAGAAATAAAGCTTAATTAAACATATCTCCTTTGACACCCATATTGCAATTTTTCATTTAACTTGTTAACTAGATTGATTTTGAATTTCCGAGCAGGTGGCCACACCTCTTCAAAATTGTTTTTAAAATTAAGCTTTCTTTAACCCCTAGTTGATTTGATTCTCAAACTAAAGAATTTAAATACCAAGTAAATTAATGTTGAGCTCCTGAACATGTGGCAACCCTGTCAGGTCATTCATTTTGTTATAGGCATAAAAATGTCTGGTAACATAGTTGAAAGTGGAGTTGTCTGCATTCACCGTGTAAACAGACAAAAAGTAGTATTGCAAAGTTTGATTTTCGTAAATAAAAACAGCTTTCGAAAGCCACTTTACATGCAAGGTGTAAGTGCTCCTGCAATCTTTTTTTTTGGAAATTCTTGAGTTTAACAGACTTTCGGAAAGGACTTGCACTTGCCACGTCTAACAGCTACTTTAGCATAGTACTTCCTACTGCAATTATGTAGAACTCTAGCCAGATTCCAACTTTCGCTATAGCTAAAATCTCTCGAATAGCAGGCGCGCCTATCAACAGCCAAAATCTAGTTACACACCCCTCACACTGCCAGATTAGGTTGATTACAAATTGCAGATATTATTAGTCCCTGCTGTATAGTTTTAGGCCCCACTACTTTTCATTTAGAGAATTTCGGCGACGAAAATTAAGCGTAGCGATTTTCAGAATTGACTTGACACAGTCAGAGATCTTTCCGTTGGACAGAATTTGCTAGTTTTTCATTAACCTAAATCTAATCAATTGGTATTTTTTCACGAGTCGTTAGATTTTTCGGTGCGATAATGGCAGATTGACTACACTAAGGACCATTTTCTCAATGTCTGGTTAACGTTGTCCCTTAATTTAACTGGGGATTCGTGTTAACTAGACATTGCGTAAAAGGCCCTTAGTGGTTATAATATTCGCTCGCTTTTATCGCAATACAATAAAAAAACTGATAAAATACCAATAGCCGCAGTGGTTCCATTTTCTTATTTATTTGTGCGTTTTTCTACAAAG